ATAAGTACCTAAATATCAGTTAAGATATCATATATACACAAGTAATATTGGATATACGTGCACTTTGCCAACCAGCTACTTGCGTTCATTTGACAAAGACTTTTGATTAACGTTGAAGAGATTTGATCTGTCACACTTCTCTGGCAATTAATATAAAATGTGTATAGAATGACCAAATTTCCCTTTAATCATTTTTTTACCAAATGTGAGACATTCAATGTTGTGTTGAGTGTTTGCTTGGGATTGATGGGATTAATTGACACATTTGACTTTGAGAGAATATTGGAAGGGGTGTTTCTCTATGCATTTAAGCTACTTCAAAATTTTAATTTTTTTAAAATAAAATTTATGTATTCAAAAACTACTTCAAATGTACTATATAAGTCACAACAATTCACAATTTTTCACGTCTTCTGCAATGAGACTATTCTTCTTGATTATTGATGATGCTTTTTCATATTCAATCAGAAAGCAAGTACAATGTTTTCATGTGAATTACGTTACTCGAACTTTTCAAAAATGTCAGCAATGTGTGTTCAACATTTTTAGAGAAGCAGATATATTTGCAGCAGCATTTTTTAAGAGTCTGAACAACATAACATGCCAAAATGAAAACAAAAGACTAATCCCTAATATAACCATAGAAATCCAAGCTAATTAAGCATTAGACTTTCATTTTAGTTTAAATGGCAACAGATGGCAAGTATAATGTATTCATGGCAGCTATGGTGTGCCCGTTCGGACTCTTCAAAAATGCCACTTGTTGTGTGATAATCCTACTTTTAGAGGATCTAATATGGATACAACACCATTTTTGAAGAGTCCGAACAACATAACATGTCAAAGAGAAAACAAAAGACTAATCCCTAATGTCCAATGACCATAAGACATTTAAAGCTAATTGAGCATTAGATTTTCATTGAATGGTCAAAACTCAGAAAATATAAACCTGAGTAGCTTATATATGCAAAAAAAATACTTCATCCACTATGAATAATTGCTACTATTGTCAAAATATGATACAAAGCTTGATATGCTTCGCGGACCGATGGCTTCATTCCCTACTTAAGGAACAATGTACTTACAAAAGTTCACATGTTCCAGAAAAACACAAGGAACAGAAGATTCAACCAGGTTTAACTGTTGAACACGTCGAAACTTCTGAATCAAGCTCTACTCCTACTTCTCTATCTAACCTGCAATATATAAGTCAAGAACAGTAAGGAATCGACAAAAGGAACACAGCATGGGGTCTCGCATAACCATAGCAATTGAACAGTTGAAAACGGATTAACGCTTTATCTTCAAGAAGAAAAATAAATGGGTCCAGCATCAAGAAAGTACAAGTCTCAACAAATCCATACACCCTTTTTCTCCAACTCTACGCCCAATACGAGGTTTCTGCCTTTGGCATTTATGTTCTATCGAAAACCTCTAGTAATTCGGAGCCTTTTCCAGATTATCCAACTTTTTCCTCTTCAACGTGGACGAAAAATAACCTTCTGCATTCTAGTTATCAACCATCTCATAAAGACATGTTTAGTTCTCTGTCTCCACCTACAAAGAGCAAAGGAATACTATGTTTTGCCTCTTCTCTCGAGTCTTGCCTTTCAACTCCTGTTTTCATTCCCGGAAAATTTTGGAAGATCATGAATGCTAGATTACTCAACTGTCTATCCCTCTAACTACCAGTATAGGAATTCTAGAATTAGACTTGCAGATAAAGAAAATTGGAAGTCCTTTGCAGCTGTAAGCACTCTTATATTCTCTGTAGTGAAATTGAGAGAAATAGTATCATCAAGATCTTTGAATAAACCCAATACCTTGGGTGCAAAAGCTGTAAGCACCTTCTTCGAATTCGCTAATGAGTGAATATCCAAATAACAAAAACACGAAATTCTTCCAACTTTTCTAAAGAAAATCAACTTTCCTCCTATTATGACCTTACTGCTCCAAAGTTGCTCATTTTTATAACAGATCTCTTGGTTCCCCTGGGAAGGGAGGGGGTCAGGGAAGAAGATATCCTACCTCAAAATCATATCTTTAACATCATCCAGCTTATATATTTATTAAGAGTTCCAGTCACTACATAAGTGGCTTCTCTGAGCAAAATATGTAAAGAACTTTAATCTTTTAGCCTACAAGAGAGTAGTTTCAAGTATATACAACAGATATCGGGTCAAATAGAGAATTCTAATTGGAAAAGTGCCATAACATATGAGAAAAATAAAATGTCAGAGCTAACAGAAGCTCCTCAAAATTTATCCATTTGATAAAAATGAACCCGCCATCAAGTTAGAAAGAACAAAACAACGCCTCAAAAGAAAAGAAAAAAGGATTATACGATAAGTTGATACAAAATAAGAAGTGAGCTTTACATCAGTCAGATTATTTAAGAGTACCATTCACTACATAAGGTGCTGCTTTGAGCAAAATATGTTTAAAAAGACATCTTAAAAGTCAATCTTTCAGCCTACAAGAGTGTAGATTCAAGTATATACAGGAGATACAGTGTTCCTTTCAGGTATTTAACAAACTGAGCAGACCAATTTTGAAAGAACAAAACAACACATAAAAAAGGAAAAAAAAAAGGTTAACACAATAAGTTCATACAAAATCGAGAAATGTTGGGTTCGGTCCATAAATTAGACCTTCAAATCATTCAGCTTATATCCTAATCAAAGTTACACTTCAAATCATCCAGCTTATATATCTACTAAGAGTTCCATTCACTAATAAACGGCAGCTCTGAGCAAAAATACATAAACGAAATTCAATCTTTCAGCCTACAAGAGAGTAGCTTCAAGTATATACAGCAGATACATGGATAAATAGACAGCTCTAATTGGATAAAGTGCTACAACATAAAAGAAAACAAATGTTAAAGCCCAGAACAAAAGCTCCTTAAATTCCCCTTCAGGAATAGAACTTGATGAAACTGACAAAATGAACACACCAAGACAGAAAGAAGTAACCTAAGTTGCGCGGACTCTTCACTATAGATTCTGCACGCGTGTCAGAATCTCCAAAAATACACTATTTTGGAGAATCCAACATTCACCCATTGACATTTTTAAAGAGTCCGAGCAACAACACCACAACATCAATATTACACAACAATATCAACAAGCTTATATATCTACTGTGAGTTCTATTCATCATGTAAATGGCTGCTCTGAGCAATAAATTGTTAAAAAAGATTCAATCTTTCAGCCAACAAGAGCATAGCTTCAAGTATATACAGAGAATTCCAATCATCAAAGTACCAACAGAAGCTACTCAAACTTCCCATTTGACAAAATAAGCAATACAACACACAAAAAGATAAAAAGGGGTTACATAACAAGTCCATACAACATCAAGAAATGATCTTTTTCCAGTTTCTATCCACTTTCAGAAGCTCAACAAACAACAGGCACAGCAAACTGAAAGAATATAACACAAATTACTACAAAATGAGAAAAAGGGTGTTCAATGCTATACCTTTCTTGAGTAAAAAACCACCTGCCTGAAAAATGTAGTAACAGCACTGCCATAGCCAAGAACTTGAAGGTTGGTCCAAACAAACCCTACTTAGTCAAACTGATTTTAACACACTCACTCTCTCTCTCTCTTTTCTTGAAAAAAAAAAAAAAAACTTAAAGCTTTGTTCTTTCTTCTTTATTTGTCCTGTACTACCATTAAAGACACTGAGTTTTCAAACAGTGAAGACTATTTCTTTGTTTTGAAGATTTTTGTGAGCGTTTAAGAAGTGGGGTTTTCCCGAGGTGCACGAATTACGAGGAAGAAAAGAGAGGAAGGGGGCCAAAATGTGCATAGGGAATAAGTTCGAAACGGCTACACACAGCACAGCAGCAGCAACAGAGCTCGTAATTTTCAAAAGTAGTCAGAAATTGTTCCCACTAATGTTTATGCTAACACTCCCTCCAATTTTATTTTCCTTTAATCAAACTTCCTATTATCATAAGCGAATTCAAAATTTGATAATTGAAGTCATGCTTATAATTCTACAATTTCAAACTTTATCCTAAGAATTGAATCGTTCAGAAACATGAAAGATCGATTATAACTGGCATGACAGCGGCATAACTTAGTGTGATTGGAATTCGACTACCTTATGACCACAACTTACTTACTTATATTGTACTTCTTCATTTGTTAACTCCGTCTGTATCTGAACATGAACTTAGGACGCGTTGAACCAATGCACCAATTATAGATGATTTACGTTTAATTATTTTGAATAATACTTTAAATTTTCATGTATAACCATGATTGTTGAATTGAAATAGATTCACGCTCGATTATTTCAAATAATATTTATATTTATAGGCTTCTCTTACACTCAATTATTTTGAATAATTCGCTCTCATATATTTCATCTTGTTATTAAACAATCCAACTAATTTAAAATTGAGACATAGTTGATTTTATATCCTTTCCATAAAAAATATATTCATCCATAACTCACCCAATATATTAAATTCACAATTCTTGACAATAACAATCGCTTGAATATATGTCCCCAATTCCCCTATTAGTCTCTATGCTATAATTTGTTTTTCTTACTTTAATTTTCAATTTATTTAATTTTTTTTTTTATAATTTGATAATTCTTTGATTTCGACATTTTATCTAATATGTATAAGATCACAAAAGAACACTGTAATACATCACACATATCTTTCATTTCACAAAATTTTAAAAATATTCAAATTTTGTATCTAGTTAAATTAAGACAAACAAATTAAAACACGAAGAGTAAGCATTCAATGATAAAATCTTTGCCTTGATATTCAAGCAAAGGCCAAGGATGTCAGTGGCAATTAATTGTTTGATTTCACAAGACTAGAAAGAAGCAGCTCTTATTTATTGCATAGCCCAAAATTTGCATGGCTAGCTTACAACTTTGAGCTACATCCATAACATGTAACAGCCAGTATAGTCTGGTCTCCAGAAATAGCGTTTACCGATCACTTTTCGACTCTATCTTTAAAAAATTATTGTAATCATGGAGTTACAAATAAACTCGATGACACTAGCTATTTTTCAATTACAACTGCTAACAAGTGACTATTACATGTAGATTTAGAATTTTAAATTTATGCATTCTAGAGGATAGGACAACAATTGTGTTCAGGATAGGTTACATACACATATTAAGCAGATTTATAAATAAAGGATCCAAGCAAAAGTTAGTGAATTTTGTGGAACCCTTAACTTCAATGGTAGATCTGCGCCAAATGCCAATCGTAGTCTTTTTGGGCGATAGTAAATAACAATGTTCACTAGAAAAGCATTCAAGAGAGAAGTTATAGAGCATATACCACCACCAACAACAACAGCTACGCCTTAGTCTCAAACAAGTTGGAGTCGCTATAGATCAATCCCCACTTTCATGTCATTTCATTTCAATTCATGAAGAGAGGTCCCCTAAGACAAAACCTTACACATAATTTAGCAAATGAGAGGTTGAATGGCAAGAAACAAACAACAACAACAACATACTCGGTGCAATCCCAGAAAGGGGGATCTGGGGAGGGTGAGTGTACGCAAACTTTACCCCCTACCCCTAAAGATAGAGAGATTGTTTCGGATAGACCCACAACTCCATAATGAATGACAAGAAACAATCAAAAAAAATTGAAGGAAAGTAGGGAACAGAAGCAATTCTGAGTAACAGCTTAGCAAACATAAACAACTACAATATATCATGCAATGTGTAACAAAAGATTTCAACTATTGCCATGGTGAAGCAAGAATTCTTGAACTAATATACATATTTGAACGTAAAAGACATGAATGTATAACTCTACAAAACACGCGTTTATCAGGTCAGAGTCAGTTCAAAGAATACACCATTAACTCTACAAAACGCGCGTACAAAATACTGAAATAGAGATCTTTTCTAGTGTTCCCCAATACTAAAGGAAGACATCAATCATTAAGCTAATCAGAAGGAGTTGTCATATGATTGCAACAGCAACAATATATCTTCGAAGGACCATAGCAGCAACACTCCAGGTTAGCCAAAATAATCGACTAAAGGAGAGTTACACACGAACTCCATTATTCGAGACAATTCAGTACTACATAGGAATTCAGTGCAATACAAATGCTTTCTTTGAATGGTTACACCAACAAACTTGTTTAAATGGGGAAAAAATGGTTGCAATAAAAACGCCTGCAGCTGAATTATGTCGCCTAGTCCGTTCATGGAACCAGTCAATCAAGATAACACATCCAAATCTAGTATCAAGTGAGATAAAAAGGCTAAGTAAGAAAGCCCAACATAACCAAAGCGCTATCAAAAAATTGTAACGTCCATACTCGGTCAGGTAAAAAAAAACTCGACTTCTTCAAGACAAGCTCTAAGTTTATGATTTTCTTGCAAATCGAAGGAAGCACAAAATACCTATCACAGCAACTGCAGCAACTGAAGATGCAGCCGCCATTAGTAAGTCTACATTGCCACCGGGAGCTTTAACCTTATCCTCAGCTGAAATGCCATCAATATTGTTGTCGATGCCTCCTTCAGTAATCAATGTTTCCTTCTCCTCCAACTTCTTCTCCAACTCAGTCACTTTACTCATCATTTCTATAACCCTCTTCTCTAACTCATCTTTCACCGTATGAAGCGCCTCCTTCTCCCTTTTCCACGCCTCGTTCTTCTTCACAGTTGCCTTTAAATCCTCGAGTTGATTCTTCAAGCCCCTAATTTCTTTCTCCTTCACTTCTCCTTCAGTTCGATGATCTTTTTCACTCGCTTCCAACTTCTTAACTTTTACCAATAACAAATTCCTTTCAGTCTCAATGGCTTCCAGTTTCACACTCTTCTCATTGTCACAACTCTTTAACCCCTCTAGATTCAACTTCAGTTTTGATAGCTCAGAATTCGATTCTTCCAGATCGTTCACTGAAGTTATGAGCTCATGCTGAAGCCGAGACTGTTCACCCTCGAGCTCTGCTGCTCGGCCAGCTACTGATCCTAGAGCCTTATTCTCCGACTCAATCTTCTCCACCTTCTTCTGTAACTCCACTTTTTCGTTCTGGATTTCCTCAATCGAGTGCTTAGATTTCTCCATCTTCTCTTTGATGACTTGATTCTCACGAAAAAGTTGATTATTCTCTTGCTCTAAAGCCGCTATCTTGTGTGTCAGTGGAGCAGTTTTCAATGCAGCATCCGAATCTTCCTCTCCTTCGATCTCCACAGCATCATCAAAAACATCTCCATTGGCAGCATTCTCCTCCGCCATAGTTAAACCTGAAACTAATCCAACAACATTCAACAACTACTACGCCTCAGTCCCAAATAAATTGGAAATCCAAGAATATTCCTACCAATCAATAAATCCAAAAAAATAAAACTTTAAGAAAATCAAAAACACCTATTCAACAACATCATCATCATATCCGATGAAATACCACTAAATGGGGTCTAGGGAGGGTTGAGTGTGCGCAGACATTACGTTACCACTAGCTCATAGAGGTATAGAGGCTGTTTCCGAGAATAAACACCTAATTGACTGACCCAGAAATTAAAATTTTCAAAATCACCCAATGATGTAAAACTAAAATTAATAGAAAATTTTGACAAACACCCAATTCACTGATCAAAAACTGAAAATTTTCAAAATCACCCAATGATGAAAAAACTAAAATTAATCGAAAATTTTGAAAAACACTCAATTCACTGATCCAAAAATGAAAATTTACAAAATCACCCATTGATGAAAAAACTAAAATTAATCGAAAAATTGAAAAACACTCAATTCACTGACCCATAAAATGAAAATTTTCAAAATCACCCAATGATGAAAAAAAAAACTTAAATTAATTAGAAAATCTGAAAAACACCCAATTCACCCAGAAATGAAAATTTTCAAAATAACCCAATGATGAAAAAACTAAAACTAATCAAAAAAAAATCTGAAAACTACCCAATTCACTGACCCAGAAATGATTTATTTATTTTTCTAAATCAACATAGAATTCGAATTACAAATACAGCATTTCCCTTCTTAATATGTATTCAACCAAAATAACATCTACCCTTCAACCCCAAACTAACAAGATCCTCAATATCCATTTTCATTTCATATATATATACACTCAAATTCTGCAATTTCATATAAAAAAAATATTTAAAAAATCAAAAAAATTGGGAAATGTGAAAGCTTACCTGAGAAATGAAGAATGTGAATTCGATTAGGATTAGGTTTTGCTTTGTTACTGTATTTGATGCTAAAAGATCAAATTTTTGTTCTTATTCGATTGTGATTTTTGATTGAACAAAAAATAGAATCATGAAATGATTTTTCATAAACAGATGTTGTAAAAGCCCAAATCCATTGGGCCTAGTTTAGTGGTAGTGGGGTAACCTATTATATTTGTCGAGAGTCTATCATAAACCGTCTTTCTATTCCACGTGAATAAGGGTAAGATCTCGTACATGATGCACTGCATTTATATAATCACACTAAATATGTTATTGTATGTTTGTTGTTGTGTATAGAGAGTATATTTGTGGATTATATAGATATTATTTTGTGATTATATTATTTATATGGGAAAAATGACAAATATACCCGAACTATCGTAAATGGTATGCAGATACCCTCCGTCACACTTTTAGGACATTGATGCCCTTGACGTCCAAAAACTAGAACATATATGCCCTTTATACAAATGGACATACACGTGTCATAATCTTATCCACCGACCCGACATTTATTAAATATCGGATCGACAGATAAGATTGTACCACGTGTCCCTATTTAGTCTTCCATTAGAGTGAATGGCATATATGCTCTAGTTTGTGGACGGCAGGGGAACCAATGTCCCAAAAGTATGAAGGAGAATATATGCATACCATTTACGATAGTTTGGGGGTATATTTGTCCTTTTTCCCTATTTATATTGATATATTATGTTAAAATCGAAAATATATAAAGTATTTCTTTCGATATGTATAATCTTATAGTAGCTTTATCATAAAGAATTAAATGATATTGTGTTACGTGAATTTTGTGACACTATTAGTTGAATGAGCTTCAATATAACACTTGATGTCTCGCGTAAGAAAGAAATAATAGAGTGTTGTAAAATGAAATGGGGTGAAGAAATAAATAAATTCTTCTATAGTGAAATCATTTTAAACAAGGAATTTTTTGTTATCGCATTATTGATTTGTTATATGGTGTAAAGGTTAAGGTATGAGTGGGATTGAAAGTGTGAAAGGAAAAGGTGTAAGAGAAAATGATCTTTAATATTAGCTTTTTTTTCCAACTCGTGTTTGGGCTCTGTATAAGTTTGATTAAATTTGAATTTTTTAATATATTATAATTAAGCCAAGGATTTATCGAAAAATATTTTTTCTATTTTCACAAGGTAGTAGTAAGGATGCAATCCTTTCTAGATCCTATTTGTGGGATTACACTGAATATGTTGTTGCAAATTGCAGGGTCAATTTCTAAAAACAATATGCTCCTCAAGACTACTAATTAAGTATGAATGGATCTTAACCATCTTACTATCACCCATGTTAATAAATTTTTAATAGGTCGTAACTCCAATTTATGTGTGACTGATTATCTATGTTCTATTTTCCTCCATCTTTTTTTTTTGTATCAACTCAATCAATATGATTCTCCAATCTTGTGAAAAATATGTTTTAGAAATTTAATTAGTGGATCCAAAAATTAACTTGATCATTGTTTGTTATTAATGGGAGCTAAACAATCTATTATATTCAAATTCATGGAATATTAATGATTATTAAGTGTATGACTCTTTGACAAAAACTCTCTTCCTTACACTTTGATAGATAAAAATATAAGTACTCATTCATTCTTTATCAGATCTTTTGAGTTTGAGTTATGAGTAAATCATTGTTTTTGTTCAGTGTAAACTTTTTAACATGAATCTAAATTTAATTGATCCTCATATAAATATATATCAAACACCAATGAAAAAAAAAAAAACATCCTTTGACAAAAATTAACATTGTACTTGAGGTCAAGGAAAATATCCAATCTCCTAAAAAGTCCTTTATGTATAAGATCTCATGATGTTAAAAGCTTCCTTTTTCTTTTTTTTTGTTTCCTACACAAATTTTCTAAATTTAGACATATTAGCATTTTTGTTCTTAAAACTCATTCAAATAACTTTTTATTCATCGTTCGATATTTGTTTTGAAGCATAATTAATTTAAATTTAGGAGTAAAAACTCTTTACTCGAACGATTCCATACTCAAAAATAAAACCCCAACTTTTAAAATAAAAAATAGAAGAATACTTATCACTCTATCGCAACTTTCGATAATCATTTAAACGACTTATAAATATATGTTAGACAAGAAATTTCCAAATAATTATTAAATATTAGATAAGGTAGTTGCCAAGTCTTATAGGATGTGTGCAATTAAGTCAAAGATAATTATGGGGTTGCTTTCTTCCTAAAGTTTGACAAGGATATTATCCAACTCATATACGTTAAAATAATTTGTCATTTTTTATTATATGATATGAACAAGTGGCCCAACACATTTTTATGACTTAATTCAGTTCTAAAAATAAAATACATAATTATTGTGATTGTGATAGTAATGATTAAACTATATACAATTTATCAAAATATGTTATTCATAATATGTGTGTGGATAATCTTATAAATTCTTATTTATTTATTTTTGTAGCCAAAATTCGATAGTAACTTCAAAATGCACATAGACTTAAATATGGTTTATAAATGAATTCATGACTATTTTATAAATAATTTAGTCAAAAAATCAGTATAGTTCATTATTTGTTGATTTTTATTGATATAATTGCGAGTTTATATTTATTCTATAAATAATCAAGGAAAAGTCAAAAAATCAGTATAGTTCATTATTTGTTGATTTTTGTTGATATAATTGTAGTTTATATTTATTCTATAGTAATCGAATATAAATGTTTTTTTTTTCTTTTTCTTATATATGAGAATATAATCTAGCATGAACTCACAATAATTCTCTATTTTATTCATAATAATTCCTTTGTTACCTAAATAAGCAAAAAAAAAAACAAGTATTTGATTGAGAAACTTCTCAAAGCATAAAATTCTCAACAAGAGAGCTTAGATCGAATCAATAGTTATATATCAATTTTATCCAAGCTCTTCGGATTGAAATGAATTTGATTGACCTTTTATGAATATACTAATTGACGTATGAAAATAACCTTACTCGTATATATATATATATATATATGTATTTTCTCAAAATTTTCATGTGTAAAATAACTCAATTATTATTAATTATAGTATCTATTTTTAGTTTAATTTATTACTTGATATATCAATCGTGGAAGATTTTTCACGCCATGTCATTAAAAGTCAACTAATGATTATTGTAAGCATTAATTAAGAGTATATAAGTAAGTAAAACATGAAAACTCGATTACGTGTATAAGACCTTTACATTGTTTGTGTATAAAAAATTAAGTCATATCCATATTACTTATTAGTACACCAACAATCTAATTTCATATGATTTAAGAATTATATATATATATTAAGGAAGTTAACTAATTTTTATATATTAATTTTCTAAGACATTGAAAATTTGTGTGATTTTGTAAAACGTGTTCAATTTTAGTTGAGACTCTACAAGATATATTTGATTCCAATTAGGATTCTTGAAGGTTATTCTACTTTAAACTTTAGTTCATGCCTATATAAAGGTAACATCTCCAATACTCAGCAAATTTATGAAATATTCACAAAGATCAGTGATAAAAAACATTTCGAATATTCTGCAAATTTATGGAATATTAACGGCTTTCGGAGGAATCTAAAGAGAGAAAAGAATCAAGGGAAGAACAAAATTGTACCTATATTATTTTATCAATAACATTCTTGTTTCTTCAGGTTTTGTTGATATTCTTGTTTGTTCGAGTTTTGTTTATATTCTTGTTTCTTCGGATTTTGTTTATGGTTGATTTTGCCCATATAACAAAGAGATTTTTTACACAAACCTCATAGTGTTAAGAGTTAATTACATTATTTTCTTATTTTTTTTTCAAATTACAAAAATCCCTTAAATTTGGTGGAATTCGGATCCCAAAACGTCCAGATACTTCACATCTCTGTTTCGGATACATCCCTTAACGTCCCAATTCATTGGGTCTCGATTTCGGAATCATCACTCAATGTCGCGATGTATATCCGAGAATAAAAGAGAGTATGATTTTTTGTGATTTTTTCAAATGGTAGGAAATTTTTAAAAATATGGTTAAATAAGTTGTGTATTTAGATAATTTTTTCAAAAAATAAAATTTGTTGCAAACACTATTTTTTAAAATATTCCGCTAACTATAAAAGTTCTATTTTGCATGATCTTTACAATTTTTTAAACATTTGGTATTTGAAATTCATAGTTCGATCGATTCGATGAGTACATAGAAGTCATTAAAGGGAGAAACATTATTTAATAACACCTACTCCGTCTTCCATAAAGAATTTATCTTTTTCTGTTAATTCGTGTGAATTGAATAAAAAAATATTGAATAAAAATTAAAATTGAATTGAAAAGGAAATCTTTATTAATTCTACAAATCGACTGATTTTATTCCCTATTTCTTACAAGAGGATGAATTATTTTCTTGAAGGATTAAAAATATTGGGTTCGAATCTCCTAAAAAAATAATTTGAAAGATTCAAAATAAAAAATAAATTACATTTTCTATGATAATATGTGTACAAATCAGGTTTCATTCATGTTACACCATAGTTTAATTTTATACCTATGGTAGAGTCAATTCTCTTATGATTCTATTTTGTGCACAATATATATTGTTATTATATAATTATTCTAAACATTATTTCCACACCTCTAACTATATAAAAAATATACTTTTCAGTAACTTACACAATTTTTTTAAGTTAGTTGAGAGGAAAAAGAAAACTATATCCTAAAATTTATATTTAATGAGCAAGTGGAATTTAGCAATGTTTATATCATGTGAGTAAAAAAATCAAACCTTCTTATCCACTATTTTTTGAATGTTGAGATGAGTAATATGTGTATCATTCCTATCCTATATATTTGTGTAAATTTGAAGTATCGAAATTGCCCTTTTTTAAATTTGATATTTATAACTACGCAGTTTGATTAATTCATATATTTTGTATTGCGTAAGGATCATTAAAGAATGAATTACTATATACTAGGAGGTTTTCTATTTCAGGATACAAATTCAAGATCTCATTTTAATACTTAGAAGATATAATTTATTGGAGTAACGTTAACTAGGAATAGTTTA